GTGATTATTGTCTGTTACAAACAGCTTACCGTGTCACGCATCGTTCTGATATACAGACAGACCCGACTTGTATTGGCTACATGACATAAATCAGATACAGTGATAAGAGAAATGTTGCAACTGGATGTCATAAGGCTGAAAACAGCAAACGAAGATTAATTCTTACGCTGTATAGTTAACACACTGACACACTATTCGATCTTATCTTCTCAAGATACTTACATGAACGCAATTCAAACTTTCCGAAATAAATGTCGTTAAATTATCACAGAACTTCCTATTAAACTTAGGCATTCGTCATTCAACAAATCTTCCATCAGTGACGTTTTACTTACTTATTCATTCATCATCAATGGCTCTACAGCCCTTTGTTGGATCCTGGCCTCTACTTCAGTTTCGTAATCTTTTTTACACAGTCGGTAGGCTGTGCCGTACCTCAGGCGGTTAGTCGCTGGCTTCCCACTGCTGCGGTCCGGCTTCGAGCCCGGGTCGGGTCATGTGGGATTTGTGGTGAACAAAGTTGCGTTGGGGCAAGTGTTTTCCGAGGACTTCGGTTTCCCCTGTCAATCTTGATTCCACCAGCTGCTCCAGAATCACCATCATCCATCACCTGCGGCTGGTACAGTAGGTCAGTAGTAGCCGCAGTACCAAGTGGACTCAGTCTCACCCCAAGAATAATAATAGTAAAAAATAATACACAAACGGTAGGAGTCCTTGGACGGGGGATCAATCCGTCTCAAGACCGCTACCTACACAAAGGGCAACACAAACAAAGAATAAACGCACATACAAACATCGAACCAACGATTGTGTTGGAGCGAGCGAATACAGTTCATGCTCTACACGCACGGTCACCGTGATCGGCAGTGAAGATTTATAGCCATCGAAGTAGCAAAGAGTAGGTTGACCACAGAGCCTTGGATCATATTCCTGACACACAACAGATTACAATTACAAACAATAGAATGAATACATCAACAGGGCTGCGAGCTTGACCTTACCTGACCCCATCCTGCTGCCTGAGGACCTGCAGCCACGGCGTCATTGGCCGACGGATATGGTAATTCCATTTCGATGAAATTTGCACGTACCCATCTGAGGTATGTGTAGTCAACATTATTCACGTCCACTTATCGTTCGCCGCCCCTCCTGCTCTGCCTCACGCATTTTGCAATGCTGACGCATATGTCTGCCGTGTCACAAACATTAATACATGGCACTGCCACAAGGAAGTTTTCTATTACATCCGCACAACGATCAAGAGTTAAAGAAATAATGCACACACTAACGAAGTCACAGATCGTAATTGTGTTTTCGAACATAAGTTATTGCATGAGGTTTAAAGCCAGTGATTGTCTTCCATCAGAACACTATAAATACCAAGAATTTCTGGGGTTTAGGACTTTTTCCAGACGTTTCGGAAACTGTATCCGTTTCCGTCCTCAGGTGACTGGGGGGGGGGAAGACACCGACTCAGTTGGGTCCCCTAGAAAGAACTAACCACAATCACTGGTCCAGTGATTCAAGTTTGCTCTTTCTAATGGACCCAACTGAACGGGTATCTTCTCCCCTCACCTGAGGACGAAAAGGAAGTCCAGTTTTCGAAGCGTCGTGTTTTCTACTTTCTAGAATATCGGACGATGGAAAAAGTCCAAAAACCCAATAATTCTGAGTTTTATACAACCCTCTAGAACGTACTGTAAATACAGATTTCAGTCCGTAGTCGTTCAGTTCCCTTGCCTAATTCCTATCAGCCACAACACTGATGTCTTCCGTGGACTTCCCTACGGAGAAACTGTTGAACACGTAGCCTACCTGCATAGCACATTTCCTGGTCAAACGAAATTACGCCGACTTTTTAAAGTGTGATTTGCCAAATGCCGGCAAATGGGCCTAAAATACTGTTTTCTTCACAAGAATTTTAAACAAAGTCGAATTCCATAATACGCCAACATAAATTTGAAATAGATGTTCGGGCGGCTTATTTAAGAAAATACAAGGTGGTTCAAATATGACCGGGACTGATTGGTGTGTAAACAAGCCGCACTGCGCAGTAGCTGTGCGACCTTGAGAGAGTGAAGCCATAACCTCCACCCTCCCTCCTGTTCGGGTTAGAACCTGTTCAGTCCTGTCTGGGAGTTGCTAGAATGATGAGCGCACAGAAGATACCGCGGAGCGTGGAACAACGCATTGTGATCAAATGCCTCGTTGGAGAAAACGTCCCGTCCGCTGAAATTTACCACAGACTCCAACAACAGTATGGGGAAGAGTGACTTTCACGGACCCGTGTGTTTGAGTGGTGTAAGTGCTTCAGAGAGGGCAGAGAGCGCGTGGAGAATGAACCGCAGGATCGTCGGCCGCGAACATCCGTCACCGAGCAAAACATTGATCGTGCAGACGCGCTTATTCGTGAGATGCTGTCCATCAGTGTTGCTAGTGTAGAAGACATCTTGAAATACCACCTGCACTATCGCAAGGTGAATGCATGGTGGGTACCACGCACTTTGACGGACGTGAACAAAATGGTGTGCATGCAAGCTGCCAGTCGTCTCCTACAGCAGATTGAAGACGAACGTTCTTGTGGGACTGGCAGGGGGTTATCCATGTAGACTTTCTGACAGATGGCAGAACAGTCAATGCAGCTTATTACTCAGACCTCCTGGCAACAGACGTGAAGGAAAAGACCCGATCCAAGCGGAAGACACGTGGAAAGCGGGTAGCCTTCCTTCAAGACAATGCACGCCTCCATACGGCCAAAACAACAATAGAAGCCCTCAGGGGAAATGAAATGGAACCTTCTGACACATCCGCCGTACAGTCCCGATTTGGCCCCAAGTGATTTCTACCTGTTAAAGGCTCAAATCAGACTTGCAAGGCATGCAGTTTGTGGACAACGACGCCGTCATCCAGACTGTTCGGGAGTGGATACGCCGCCAACCACGTCTTTTTTTTAAAGGGCATCAGGATGCTTCCAGAACGTTGGAAAAAATGTGTTGACTCCAGAGAGGAGTACGTTGAAGACTGACATGTGCAAGTAAGTGTTTGGCAATTATGTTTAAAAAAATCAGTCCCGGTCATATTTGAACCACCTTGTAATAAAATGGACCTAAACAAATAAGTTTCATGGCAAGCTTCTGGAAGTTGACAGTCGTACTGAAGGACAGTTTCCACATCTTTCCCTTCAAAAGGAACAAAATTTGTGGCTCTTTGTAAGAATACTTGCAGCACACTACTTGAAAATACTGTGACGTGCTGAGCTATGGATGACGCCCCTCCCCCCCCGCCAGCCGTGATGCGCCGAGCGAAGCCGAAGCGAGCCGATGTTAGCCGAGTCCTAGCATCCTGGTCGCTAGGCAACGCAAGTCAACAGCGGTGACGTCACCAAGTAGTAACAGCGGTTACCTCCGCTAGCGTTACATAGCAACACAGCGACATAGCAACAAGGGTGCCTGTTACGTGGCCGTATTGTCCGATCGAGGTTACATACGGAGCAGCGAAGGCTATTCACAGTCAGTTGTACTGAGTTGTACTGTAACAGTCGCCGAGTCGAGACGTAGAGTCAGCCAGTCAGTTGTATTCTGGCATTGGGAGTGGACTAATTGTGATACTGCAGATAGCAGTAATCGTAAAACTGTAATTTGGGTGATTGTATGAGCGAATGTGAAATAAAATTCGCTACACCGAATACATCGAGAATTTATTTGTCGCGATATACGCCCGATACGCGACAATACGTATCTTTCATTTTGTACCCTGGTCTCATTCTGACAGTAGCAGTAGTAATGTTATGCAGGTCACATTCACGAATCCGGCCATTTTCATAAACAAATTACTGAACTCGGAAACCTTAATAAACCTTTTTCAAATATACACTTGTAATAAACCGGAACCGTAGAAACTATTTTACAGAATACGTCACTTTCAATGGATACTCATAAAAACAAGAAAAACAGTACAGGTCACGGACACAAAGCAGAACTATCGGAAGTGCACGTGACTGACCGGAACCGGAATTACTTGAATTCGTCTTTCAGTCTTCACACTATCTAAAGGTAGCAGATATCCACTCTCGAATGACTTTCACTATGCTCCACAATATTTTCCGACATCTTGTTTTAGAATGCAATGGAACAACTTTTAAGATGTCTAATACTATAGAATTAGACCTAAATTTGGGTTATCGCAGTGCGCAATCCAATTAATCCTTTACAGAATTAGAACTTAATATATTTTGTAATTCTATAAACGTTGGCATTAGTTTCACGTGAAATGTGTTCTTACTTAAAACATCTCGATAAGTACACAGACCCGTACATCCGATTATTGTTGATGAAGTTGTTTTTATGCCTAAGCAACGGACAATTAAGTCTGATGGAAGCACGCATCCCGACCGTAGTCGCGAAAGAGAGACAATTGTTAGCTTCATCCTGAAACCACTTCACCCCGAACCTCCTCATATGAGCCTGGGTTAGTCCATGAGCCCATCTTGGCTCTGTAGCGTTATACTTTTTCTTAGGTCGCCAATCAATTTCTGGCCGAACTACTCAAACGTCTAGTGGTAGTGCCTTACAAAATACATGTATTTTTTTATTGCTAGTGGGGTGGGTCTAAGTCCCTTGTACTGTGGCCACTTCTGGCCTATTGTACCAGCCCCAGATGATAGGTGAACGTGTTTGTGGAGTAAGTGGTGGAATGAAGATTGGCAGGGGAAACCGAAGTACTCGGAGAAAACCTGCCCCAGCGCCACTTTGACCAGACCCGGGATCGAACCCGGGCCGCCGCGGTGGGAAGCCAGTGACTAACCGCTTGAGCTATGGCGCAGCCCTCACAAAATACACGTAAGTCGCAGACCTACTTAACCCAGGCATACAGCACATTGCTATACAACGTCCCTAGCATAAAGCAGACCCCTTACAACGGAGAAAATAATGGCTTACTAATCAGTTCTATTGGCAGTGGCTCAAGAAATACACAGATTGCATTACAGAAATTATACTAACCAGGAGTAATCGTCGGCTTCCCACCGCTTTGGGCCCTGACCGATTCCAGAGCAGGTCATGTGGGATTTGTAGCGGACAAATCATCACTGTGGCGGGGTTTTCTTAGAGTACTTCAGTTTTAGCTGATAATTCCCATTCCACTAACTGCTCAACATTCGTCGACGCTGATTGGTCTTGATGCTGTGAGCGCTGGAAAACAACCAGATACAAAATAAAAGCCACTAGTGTTTGGGCGGAGCTCAACAGAGCAAGCAGTTTTATTCTCTCTTCTTTTTCATATTAACTCGTAAGGTTTGCAGAAAATAGCGATTTGCTGGCCAAGCAAGCCTGTACTCGTATGTGGTGAATATGCTTCTGCAAAAGACGTCAAGAGTTTGCACCGAAATGCCCACAGGTGGCATACCGGGATACAAACACACACTTTCTGGTTATAATCCAGACAGAAATTTGTCGCCCAAACGTTGTATTACTGACCCTACCCACTTCCGGTAGTACACCATTTCTGTTTTCTTAATAATGGCTTGTTGCGTGTCAAACATCCAAGTCCTGAGGGACAAAGGGGGAGCAGTGTCATGAGACATTTCATGTCTGTCTTTGTAATCGACTCCATGTTCTTCGTATATTCATTCTGTTATTTACCCTGAAACACGAATACAAACAGCTATAAGGCAAGGACATGTGAAGCTGTCCCTGTGCTTCATTAATTGGGCACTGCGCCATGAAAGACGGTTGCGGGAGTGGACGTATAGATCCACGTATTCTTGACTCCGGCACTAGTTTGAGTAGAATTGTCAGCTTCACGTCCCGGCCGCTTTACCATCGGTACCCGTTGAATAAGAAGCTGGGTGGGCCCCGCAGACAGTCTGGACGACGTAGAGGAGAAAAATCCTGTCCCTACCAGGACTCGAACACCGGCCCCTCGGCCGCCCAGGCAGTCGCTATTCAGACGTAACAAAATAAAGCAGCATCTATCCATATAAACGTGTTGTTCCTCGGCTTATGCATATGCTACGTATTAGCTGGTTTCTCTTCTGTTAGGATTCTTAGCGGGCACAGCGCCTTCTCCTCGTCACAGCGATGTTAAAGTAACCAAGCAAAGAAAACGAGTGGTCCCTTGTGCACCCGCATTCTGAAACATGGAACACACAGCATGAGGGAAAAGCTAAGATATGTTAGTTTATTTCTAGCAACAGCAATGAACATACTGTTGGACACTGTTGCTGACGTCACAAAGAACGTAGCGTGGTCTTGGTTCCTTGGAATTCCAGTATCTTAATTTGAGTCGCCAGTTGTGACTCACGGCACAAGAATACGTCATATGTTGTTGCTCGCATCAGCTACACCGACAGAAAACCGGAAAGGGGTCGAGGTTTGTTATGCAGAGGATGGACAAAAATATGGAAACACCTCGTGAATTTCATGCCTGAATTGAAGTGTTTATTTTAGCGAAGTTTGTAGGTGACGCTGTTGTATCTGCCTAATTCCACTCCCAGTACAACCTCCGCAGTACGTTGCAAGCTTAATTTGTTGTCGAGACAGTGTTCTGTGCAGTTTCTAGTGCAGCATGTCAAAGCTAACAGAATTCGAACGCGGGCAAATTGTTGGGGCCCGTGTGGTGGGTGCTTCCGTAACCAAGGTAGCCGATGTTTTTGGCATTTCGCGAGGCACACTATCCAAGATGGTTGAGGCACTATGCTACAAGCCGGAAGGTCGCGGGTTCAAGTCCCGATGAGGTAATTGGATTTTTTTCAGTTGATCTAATCTTTCCAGCCGTACTATGGCCCTGGAGTCGACTCAGGCTCTAACAGAAATGAGTACCAGGAATTAGTTAAATAATTTTCCTGGGGAGTAAAGCGCGGCCGGCGCGTAAGGCTGACAACCTTACCGCCATCTTTGAGCCGATTGTCTAGAAGTCTAGATAATGTGGGACCCTCAAAGACTCACAACCCTATGGACCTTCACGGCCTGATACAGGGATAGCTTTACTTTTTACTTTACAGTATCCAAGATTATTACCGCATCCGATAAACACCAGCGTGGACGGAAATGTGTGTTGAGTGATCGAGACAGACGAACATTGCGTAGGATTGTGACGAAAAATAAGAAGACTACAGCTGCAAAAGTGACTGCTGAACTGAATGTCACGCTCACAAACCCTGTCAGCACCAAAACAGTACGAAGGGAACTCCTCAAGCAGCGTATTTCTGGACGAGCTGCAATTCCAAAGCCACTCATCAGTGATCAAAATGCCACTAAGAGGAGAGTGTGGTGCCGAAGTCATAAAACCTGGACTATGGAGCAACGGAAGATGGTCATTTGGCCGGATGAGTCCACCTTTACACTGTTTCCGACTTCTGGCCGAGTTTACGTCTGGAGAACGCCTCCCAAGCTTACGATCCAGATTGTCTGCTGCGGGGGTTCGATCATGGTATGGGCAGCCATATCGTGGTATTTTGTCGGACTCATCATTACCCTGCAAGGTCACGTCACTGCCAACGACTATATGACCATTTTAGGCGACCAGGTCCATCCCATGGTACAAACTTTGTTTCCCAAAGGTGATGCTATTTACCAAGACGACAATGCCCGTGCTCAGACAGAAAACACCGTCCAGGACTGGTTATCTGAGAACGAAGATGCCATGGCCCCCACAGTCGCCAGATATCAATATTATTGAGCCTTTGTGTTCTGTTTTGGAGGGCAATCTGCGTGCGCGCTATCCACCTCCATCATCGTTAACAGAACTTGCCAATGGTACAAGATTCCCTTGCAAATCATACAAGACCTCTATTTATCCATTCCAGCAGTTCTGCAAGCCAGAGGTTGTCCTACACCATATTATGCACGGTAATGTGTTTTTTGTTGGGTGTTTCCGTAGTTTTGTCCATCCCCTGTATTTATTTAGCAATGCTGTCAGTAGCTCAGATTACATATCGTCAAATTGTATAGTGATTCCTGAACAACGAATTTTAAAGGATGCACAAGGAAACGTTAAAAGGCAAGGTAAAGTTATCCCTGTACCAGGCCGTGAGGGCCCACAGGTTTGTGAGCCGTCGAGGCTCCCACATTTTCTAGTTAATCGGCTCACACATGACGGTGAGGTTTTCAGCCTCACGCGCCTGCCGCCCTTTAGCCCCAGGAAAATTCCTGGTACTCATTTCTGTTAGAGGCTGAGTCGACACCAGGGCCATTGTGTGGCTGGAATGATTAGGTAAATTGAAAAAAAAAAAATCCACCTCATCGGGACTCGAACCCGAAACCTTCCGGTTTGTGACATAATGCCTCAACTAACTAAGCTACTGCGTACAAGGTAACAGTCGTTGCCAGATTTGAGAGACCACTATCCCGCATTTTGCCTCGTAGGAGTGAGGAACATCGCGCCAGGATAACCAGGAAACCTGTAGCTCCCACGTACAAACCGAAAGCTTTTCACCCTGACTAAGGTTTCGCGGTGAGGTCTCTTCTGTTCGCACGGCAATGACAAGCAGAAATGAAGGACGAACCCTGTCAGGATGGAAGGGGCCTGCAAGAAGTTCAGGTGCAGTGGTGACGCTTTACGCTTCTATTTGGGGGATGTTCCGATTCGCATATAGGCCGAGACAAGGTCTATGCTGAGGTTTTTGGTAGTTTTCCTCAGTGCCTCCAAGCCAATTCCTGAATAATACTCATATTAGACCACGACCGCTTCCTTCCTAATCCTTTCCCATTCACTATTCACCTATCAGCCTACTATTGGACGCTGCGTAGTCTGAGATATAGACAGGGTCGTAAAATAAATCTGCAAATGAAAGAAGAAAGACTTAATGACTCAGAAGAAGGAAGAGAGAAACAGCGCGTTAGGAGACAGAAGAAGCCGCCAGTCTGCGTAAACGGAACAGCGATTCGTACCATTCACCTTCATCTGTGCCACAGATGCGATAAAACGTACGTCATATGTAATTCCCAACATTGGATCTGAACCCCTTGCACGTGGCACTCCCGATGCACAGTTCCGGTCGGTGCCGGCAGATTGTGGACTCGCACGAGAAGCGCTGGTCCAGTTCGGAGCAGAGAGCCATGGAACGAGCACTGGGGTTGCTGTTGTCGCTGCTGCTACTGCTGACTGCTGTCTCAGCGGGGTTTGCAGGTGAGGTCAGAAAAATGTCAGCAGAGCGAGAAGTGTGTCCGCAGAACAGTTATAGGCATTTCAATACAGTTTCTATCCTCACAATACATTTCTCTAAGTTTCATTTTAATATTATATTTGAGCATCCTGTTACACTCACACAATATATATGAGACAAACACCGTCTTAAGTGTAACGATTTAATTGTAGTTCTTTTTTATTTCCCTCCTCCACACTACATGTTTCGGCCCTAAATGGCCATCATCAGGTGTGTATTCCTACGTAGCTGTTACACTGCTTGTTAAAATTTAAAATCACCAGTCTTTCTAATTGTATAAAATCTTTGTTAACTTACACGCGTTAATTTGATTTCTAAATTTAGCACTTTTTTAAAACTTTAATTCAAGTAAANAACAATACCTGAACAGCGTTAAACAAGAAGTGGCCGCTGCAGCACTACAGACATAGGGCATGTACCCTGAGAAATTTTAATTTCAAAATTTGAAAAAGCAAAAGAACAAAAATCTTATAGACATTTTAACTTGAATTAAAGTTTTAAAAAAGTGCCAAATTTAGAAATCAAATTAACGCGTGTAGGTTAACAAAGATTTTATACAATTAGAAAGACTGGTGATTTTAAATTTTAACAAGCAGTGTAACAGCTACGTAGGAATACACGCCTGATGATGGCCATTTAGGGCCGAAACATGTAGTGTGGAGGAGGGAAAGAAAAAAGAACTACAATTAAATCGTTACACTTAAGACGGTGTTTGTCTCATATATATTTCATTTTAATATTTTTCTTCAATCTACAGTTACGTATTTTAAGGGACCTAATCTCGTAGGGTTTTGAACCCAAAATGTTCACAGGGCCTACACTTGCTTTCTCGTGTATGTTGTACTCCGTGCCACTCTCAACATTCTTTACGTAATCACCGTGAAATGTTAAGTAAAGGACGGAAATACTTGAATAGAATTCCAGTACACAGTATATGGCCGAGGTTCGGCCACTTTCACCTTGACAATAAATAACAAATTTAACAACTTACTGAAGGGATTTATTAAGTAAATAACAGATTTGAGCCACCCTAAACTGGTTCCCACTGCTTCAGTTCCCATGCGGCTGTTAAAAAAGAAAGACGGAAAGATTCCCGTGGTCAAACCCCACGCTATGAAGACAGGTCGGTACCCATTTTCAGCCTCAGTATTGAATAGAGATTAGTGACTCGTTTTACACTTCAGATCTCCGCTGTCATGACTGTTTTTTGGGTGGGGAGGGGTCCCCAGCCCCTGCAGACAAATACCATGATAGCATCTCAAATTAAGACGTGCTGTGCCTTCCATAGCCCTTCCAATTTATTATTCACTAATCGTGCTACCGTTCGATACAATATTATTAATAGTGTGATCTACTGACAGCCTCATAAATAAATGACTTCATGCTTCGACCGTCTTTACCATGTCCGTTAGCATTAGATAGGAGCCAGGTTAGGTCTAGTAACATTATGAAGAGTGGCCCTTTCGGGTATCGAGGCCCAGCTATCCAATCGGGACCCCCTTACTCTACATTGGCACAATATTCTTGGCTGACCGACTTCTTCCACATGTAAAAAAGAAATGTTCGCCGCTTGTCACACATACAGCGTGTCCTGAATGGCAGTGTTACACATAATTCGTGCACCATTTCACTGATTAGTTCTGGATAACGCTTTACGAGTCGTAAAATTATCGAACCGTTCCGGTCTTATCCGTGAAATTTCAGGGTGTATTTGTCGAATGTTTGGCATATTTGTTGTCACCGAGGTTACCTACGTGAGTCTCACTTGTAGGAAATTTAAGAGAGTTTTTTTTTTTTTTTTAAGAACACGGCCCCGGTCTGAGGTTTGTATTGCGCCAGTCTTGACTGGAAACCTGTGGCGTGTTGAACGGTCTGGAGAATAAGTCTGTTCCTACTCACACCACATCTGCGGGAGAAAAAGAGACTTCAGTTTTTAGAAACAAAACGTACCTAAATATACAGTTCATTATCCCTTTTCCCCTGGGTCCATATTTTCTTTCTCTGGCAAGACCCCATTCCTTCAGCGATTTGTTTCTTTTCTGCTTCTGCAGTGCGCATTATTGATGAAATCTATAATTTTATCATTACTTCATTTTTATCACGCTCGAGATAGGCTTACCGTCTGCCCTAATGAATCATACAAATTTCGTCTCTATGTCCCATGCTTCCAAATGTGTTGAGGCTGTAAGGACGAGGGCACACCAAGGAACCTGGCAACCGCAATTTCCGTGAATTGTTATCGGCCAGAGTTGAGCACATGTCACTGAATGGAGCATCGCAAATTGAGGAAATGGCAATAGAACTTGCTCAGTTGCGTTGCTCCATTCAGTGACATGTGTTCAGCTCAGACTGATAACAATTCTCGGAAATTGCGGTGGCCACGTTCATTGGCGTGCCCTTGCCCTAGGAAAGTAACGGAAGGTTTGAACAGTTCCCAAGTATCTAAATAATTTTTTTCTTTTTCTTTTTTTTTCTTTTGAAATAATTTTACAGTCTACTCAATATACATAGAGTAATTAGTAAAAGGGATGGGTGTGTGTAATATTGAAGCAGGTAACATCCTTCGATGATTCTCTGGTGCTTATCTAATGAGATCCTCTGGCCACATTCTATTTAGTCTTCTTTCTATTGCTGGTTGGTTGTTGCTTTGAGTGGTCCGGTTTTTGTGTGTCTCCGCGTATGCTCTGATGACTTCTGTTACATATGGTATGCTTAGATCACTGTGTAAGGTAGCGTTTGGTACGTACCAGGGAGCATTAACTAGTTTTCTTACCGTTTTGGATTGGAACGTTTGGAGAATTGTTGTGCTGGAAGGTTTGCTGTATCCCCATAACTCTATCCCGTAGGTCCAGACTGGTTTGATTATCGTTTTATATAGGATTATTTTGTTTTCAATAGATAACTGTGATTTTTTTTGTCGATTAGCCAATTCATATTTCTGGTTTTGAGCTTTGGTTGTCTTCTCTTAGCTTTTATATGCGTTCTCCACGTACGTTAGTGAACAAACAGAACATGTCAAAGATTGTCAGAATTACTGGGCTTTTGGACTTCGTCCAAACTAGAAAACAACATTTCGGAAACTGGATCTGTTTGCGTCCTCGGGTGAAGGGGGAGACACCTACTCTGTTGGGTCCCTTAAAAGAGGTAACCTCAATCACTGGAAAACCCCTGGCAGATTCACACAGCTATTTAACCACCTGAGACCAGACTAATCCGGCGGGAGATAACAAGAAATTATGCAATAATAATTGTGACAGAGCTCGCATATGCACATGTCACAGAGTTTCGAATACATTCGTTTTGTTCTATATTCCCAGGCCTTTGTCTGCAGCAGGGAAGTCTTATGATACTTTGTATAGTTTCACGGTACAATTTCTGTAACCATATTTATAATTAAAGGTAATTTAAAAGGGCGTGTTCTGTTCCGGGACGACAAAAATGTGTATATACAGGGTGTTTCATAAATACCTCACCGACTTAAAGGAGATTTCTAGCAATACTCTATAGTAAATAATAAATCAAGTGTCGTATGTTACAGGGAGCTTTTGATTTCCCGGAAAAACAATGGTTCCGCTTCCCACCGCACAATGGCGCCGCATCCTCGAGTTAAAAAAAAGTATTTTAAATCAGTCAGGTATTTATGAAACACTCTGTAGTATATACCCCATATATATATATATAGGCCTACATATTATTTCATATTCTTTAGTTTATTCCCACACACATTGTGCCGAAGGGTTTGTCCAGCCTCGTATATGGGAGGCGTTTGATTCGAGACTCAGGAGGGACACCAGCTGTCCTGACAGGTTTTCGTGCATTTCCTCAACCTCTCTAGGCCAGACCGCTTCGTTCCAGATCCTTTCCAGTTCATCAATCATGGTATCATTCGACGCTATATAATTTAAATATTGTACTCACAGACTCGTTAAAGAACCCACCAAAAGACGACGCTGTATCAACTACCACCTTCGAGTGGGAGAAGAGAGTTGGAGGAATTGATTGTGGGAGCTGTCGTGGCATGTTTCGAGATACTAAATTTACGAAACTTGGTAAAATTCACGTGAAATTACGCCTGGTAACCAGCTCCATGCAGCTTATATTCGTACCGGTTTCGTGTTCTTTCGAACGGAACCATAGAAAATTGTGACTAGAACGGAATATTAAAACGCACGTAGTTATTATCTTGTGAAGTGAAGCGCCATCACGTCATCTGGTTTTCCCGACGTCGGTCTCCTTGACTGTAACGAGAATATGAAAGGTCACCGCATATGCGCAGAAATGTTCAATCGCAGCGGAGAGACACGTTACGTTTGCTTCTGCGCCCCGGAAGACTGCAGTGATGTCTGGTAGAATCCCCTGACCTCATGTGCAGTATCTGTACGGCCACGTGCGTACGTAGGTATGTCGTGGAGATAGGAACCACAGTTTTGTGAGGCCGAGACAGTGAAGTAATACAAAAATAAGCAGTTTCAGCCACAGTTCATACAGCATATTTTTATATTGTACATGTGTCCATCCCCATAAATGTTGTATTTTAACTTTGTTTTATTTATATAATGTAATTAACTAATGAGATTTAGCTCATGCGTTCCCTTGCTATCCTTCTACCACTCATACGACGTAATAAATAAATAATGAACTGTCATTCAATAGATGCACCAGATTTCTTTAACTTTGGGAGAATGGAGATTCTTACGGCGAAGGCTTCGAAGAGAAGGTAAGGTAAAGCTATCCCTTTGACGGGCCGTGGAGGCCGATAGGGTTGTGAGATGATGAGGGCCCCACATTATCTAGACAGTCGGCTCATAGAAGGAAGATACCTGGTACTCATTTATGTTAGAGGTTGAGTCGGACCCAGGGCCATAGTGCAGCTGGAAGGAGTAGGTAAATTGAAAAAAAAAATCACCTCATCGGGACTCGAACCCGCGACCTTCCGGCTTGTAGTATAATGCCTCAACCAGCT